AACTACAGATAATACAATTCAGATTACATTGGGCCTAATCATTTATAAGTGAATAAAAACTTTTTTTTTCTAAAATTAAAAATTGTTAACTGCCAGATGTCGATTCGAATGAAAGCGTCGAACGAACCGTTTATTGGGCAAAGTTATCTGTGCAACACGGCGTCTGTTATCTGTGGAGCAATAAACGAATCTGGCCGGATGCCAGACCAGGTGCAACAAGTCGCAAGTTCAAGGGCGCTAGTTGTGTAATATCATTTCACTGTTTGCCAAAAATATCTGTGTTATAGGGCACTAACCGATATTATTGTTTCACGCGCAGACAAACAAGTGAAGTGCTTTTTAATTCTCTATTCTTGCATTGTTAACACATTTTTGGACATCGGAATTATTCTAGATTTAATACATTTAATCATACAGTAAGACCATAGATCCTAATTAACCACTTGCCGCCATTAAAATCAATCAGTGAAACGGACAGAGAAATGTGTTCGCCCCATGGCCCAAAGAAGGGAAAGAGTTTTGCCCATATAGTCTTTAAAGTTTAGCTTCTTAGATCATTTATTCCGCACTAATTAATCTTGCTTTCCAATATAGGGAAAATAAATAAAGAAGTTAACAAATATATTTCGTGCATTAAACCCGTTAAATGTTTTAATTAAATTGTTGCCTCTTATCAATTATAGCACGGAAGTGTTTTATATACCTAAACACAATATAAGATTATTCATAAATGAAGGTTAAATGAGATTTTTTATTGAGTATTGTTTTTCTAATAAAAAAATCATTTGTTAGTTTTTCTTTTTTAATAAATAATAAAGTGGATGTTCATTGCAATAATTAACGTAACAAATTAGATGGGTTCTAACGAAGAATGACTTCAAAAGGGACTAGAAAGCAAGGCTTTATTTTTAAGTTCTCCGACTGGTTTATTTAGGATATAAAAAATATTTATTACCTTTAGAATCTCTTGAAGGCTTAGGATTTGTGTGGCAAAATATTATCTTCCCATTGTCTAAGCAAACAGATTCCAATCCAACCCTTCAAAATCCAAACCTTTTCGCTTATTACCAATGCGTAAATCTTTTATGGTTTTAAGCACGGACATTTTTACTAGTTCAAGAGTGGAATGTTACTAAGTATGGGTCTACAACAAAAATTTTGACTCAGTTACCAGAGCCTTATTGAGCAGTAATACAGCTTTTCCGTTAAGTCCAATATGATTCACATCCAGGTTGATAATAGATCGTCTGCTGCATCTCTCTTAACATATTGTCCAATTATTTAAGCTACTAGCCATGCCAGCGACTTCGTCTGCATAGAATAATTATTTGGGCATCAAAATTTGTTTTTGCAAACCTCATACTTATTATAGCTGCTACCCACAGACTCGTTTGAATCTCGTCGTTCTTACAAGTTAAATTAAAAGATTGACATACTGTATAGGATATTTCTTAAGCTATGTTTTGAACAGGAATCAACTTTTCGTATTTTCATCTTTTTATATTGTCTAAGTTTTTTCAAAGATGTTTGCTCCTCGATTGCTCGAAGTATTATTAATTATCTGCACGTGATGGCGAAACGTTGAGAACCTCTTCTCGCTCACGTCGGCCGAATAGCCGACAGAAAAACCAATGATGTACGTATAGATATTTTGAAGCGCACACAACGAAAACCCTGAAAAAATACATATTTTTCACCGTCTTTTCCATCTATTGGTCACAGCGTGACGATTTATAACCTAAAGCCTTCCTCAATAAATGTTCTAATCAACACAAAACTAATTTGTCAATTCGAACCAGTAGTTCCTGAGATTAGCGCGTTCAAACAAACTTTTCAGCGTTATAATGTTAGTATAGATGTGAAAAGTATATATAAGTATAGCCGATGCTGTATTAAATAAAGCATAATGAATTTATAGATATTGAAATAAAACAACGAGTTCCTTAGCATTTCTAACGCCAACACCGCGGTCATAAAAGTGTTCACTATAAAATATTTATGAAGGCAACTGGTATAATGGAGTTCGAATGTTTAATTGATCCGTTATTATCGGTCCGCATTAGTCGTGTAATGGAAACCTTATGTGTTTTATCTAGATTAACTTATACACAACCTGAGCTACGTAATAAGTTCACCAACTGCCTTGTTTAGTGGTTACATCATATGCTACGAGGTCCCGAGATCGAATCAAAGTTGGACGAAATGTTACTGGTATTTGAAAAGTTTCTAGTTACTAGCTCGGGGCTTGGAACTAGGAGAGGTCGGTTTATCCCCACTTAATGGCGATAAACCTAACCTAACTTAAGCCTCTTTAGGCCCCTTCACAAGAGAGAATTCCTTCCTAGGCCCATCAGGGAGAGAACCAACAAACATCTGTACGAGGGGAATGGAGGATATGCATTTTTGTGTCTGTTTTACGCGATTTATTTTTCTGTGACGGTACGATGCACGGGGCTACTAAGTGACAAAATGGCTATATGAATTCCGGTTTGAGTATCATTTGCGTTAAACTTTATCAAAAGTGGTATACTTAGTCACTGCTTACTTGAATGGGATGACGAACGCACAAAATTCCATTTTCTGTGATTATGATAGCGTAAAGAGTCGTTTGTTAAAGTGGCACACCTATTGAATACCCGCGCGTCACAAAATTACAATTGTATGGCGTAATGCCAAAATCTAGTATTCCAATATCCGTATTACTAAAGACATAAGGTTTAATTTATAATATTTATTTACTGAACGCATTGTTTTGATTGCGCTGTGATGGGAATATCGAATTGCAGATTGATGTCGGATAATCTTCGAATTGGATTTTAACACATCGCTATAATCTATGTTGTTTTAATGAAACGGTTCTGCTTCGTTCCTTTTTTGTTGTTTTGTTTTGTTTTTTATTTAATCACGTGCTTTTTTTGTAACAATAATAATTAACTGACGGGTAAAACTTCAAGGATGTTTGTAAGTCATCATTTATCTTTACGTTACCCTTTGCTTATCCAACGTTGTTACTTCTAATAGTTAAGATGGGTAATTTATAAAAATGTTTTTTTTTCTACTTTTAATTAGACCTTTCTTACAACATATTCTTTAGACATGAAATTTGCATTTTACTTATACAATAATAAAATAAACGTAATGATGTTTCACAAAGTGAAATCAGGATAATGAAAAATTAATCTTCATAAAGAAAAGGAAAAAGTAATATAATTAAAAATATATAAATTACCATATAACGTGACTTCGCCACACTATAATAACGATTAAATTTGTTATAAACTATGATATTTCCTTGAAGGGATTCTACGAAAGGCTGGGCATATTAAAGCATCAACAAATACACAACCCTTCTATACTAGCTACGGAAAAAAGGAAAATTTAGAAATCCGATACTTAACCTCCCACTTGTTGCTTTGTTCTTTCGCCCTTGACCCAGAAAGTGGGTCAATGTTTAACCTGTTGCAGTGGGAGTGAAAGGGGGGATGTGTCACAGGAAGGCACGAGTGGGATGCAAGATGTTCTGGAGCATTCATTGTAAAGTTTGATAGAAGGGTAGTGCCGTAACCTGAATGAAGCTACGCTTAATTAAGTAAGGGTATCTGAGAAAGATTTGTCTGTTATAACAGCTTTACATTCTCATTAAGTACCAACAAATCTAGCTTTGATTTATTAGCTGTGACTAACTATATCAGCATATTATTTTGACGTCTTTGGGCTTGGGACATTGCTCAAAATTGGTCTTCTTTAAAAGTTCATAAAAGATTGTCTATTTTTGACGGTAGTTTTACTATGATTACTAAAAATAGAAAAGAGAATGCAGAACTTTCCGCGTAGGGTAATGTAGTTTAGAGTAAGTTAAGCGTTGGGGATTGATTGCTACATAATTAGTTTCACCGGTGTTTGGTGCTGGATTTGATTGCAATTTTCCTCTTCACTCTTTATGTCCTAAACAATATTCTTCGTGTAAAGGTCGGAATAGATATTCAGTTATTCAGTGGTCGACGAGGCGTGAAAACGAAAAGTTATATCTGTTAGTTTTGACGTGCTTATGAAAAATGTATCTCCATATTATTACAAGAAAAATCATTTACTGAATAAAACATCTTCCTTTCATTTTCTCGCTTCAGAAATAGGAAACGTTAGCGCGTTTTATATTGTACCTGGGCGTGGGTGTCTTGTCTACAAGAGCTCATCTTCGGAACATTTCAGCTGTATGGACGATGAGTAAACAAGATGGCGGTTGAAAGCCGTTAACATAAATACATTTAAATGTCCTTATTTTGTCATTAAATTTTGCCTTAATGTCAGTCTAATCACTTAAGTACGTGGGGTACAAACGTCGAACTACTATTGACAATGAAATGAACCGGTACAACAACCTATGCCTTTTTATTACAAACGTTTTTCTCTGATATATTTGTGTAAAATCTTCGTGTAATTATACAAATTTTTACAAACGACCAAAGCAATCCGTATATTATATAACATATTTAGATACGTTTATACGCGGTTAATGATATAAATGGAAAACTTAAATACAGAAACCTAGAAGTCCCGAAGTCTCCAAAGTCCCACGCAAATAGTTGGATCTTGTTTAACTCCAATCAGACAAGTTAATGTTGAAATTTCAATTGACTTGTGAATTTCCTCTGATCACGAATGACCCTCGCATGGAATACGACCATTTCCACTTACTTACACTTGTCCTACAAATTGTTTAACTATTTTCTCATTTTGACCGGTTTATTTCTGTCCTTCTAATAAATGACTAATAATCAACTGGAAGGATTTGGACTTACCGAGTCCAGCGTGTTCGCAATTAAATTGTAAATTTCTTATTTTTCATACTAGATCCACCATTTGTTCGAATTTATTTATAACCAAACCATACCCTATTGAAGAGACTCAAATGTGATTTCTTTTTCCAGGGCGACAGGAGTGACTGGTGCGGCATACCATGTAGTGGACATTTAAAACGAAAAGTGTTTAAATAGTTAAAAATGGCCGACATCGATGAAACGAACGTCGACGACGAAGTCGGCTACGAGTACGACACGACGAAGATCCCAGAGATCGTGACGCCCGACGACATGAACGAGTCGGGATATCAAGAGTCGGAGAAGAGTTATGGGGACAGACGGGATTCGAAGGAGGGCTTCGGGGGCGAGGGGGACTCGGACAGCGGGGTGGACGGAGTGAGCAGCGGGTGCAGCACGGTGGACGACTGCCCCGTGGTGTCGATCAACGACGTGGTGGCGTACTACGACGTCATCCGGCCGCGGCGCCGGTACGCCCCGCAACTCAACTACTACCATGTGGACCTCGAGAGGATGGCCTTGGACGCTGTTGTTCAGGTGAGTTCGAGTCACGAGTTACTTGTACTTATTTTACTTAATACCCTACACTTCGCTATTAGAACCCCATTTGCAACGTAGCTTAAATGACAGAATAAATGATAACAAATTATAATAATTTCCTCTATCTCAATCAATATACCAATTACAATGTTATCAATATGTACAAATAAGATACATTTAAAGCAATATTTCTTTAAAAATAGTATTTTACAAGTTCCCCTTCAGGCTTCATTTGTTTTTTTTTGGTTATGTGAAAACGATATATAACCAAAACTAAAAATAACCTAAAATTTGAGTTAGGTATATTTAATTTAAATTTAAAACCTTATCAATTAAACTTATTGGATTCAAGAAATTGAATTTTATTTTATTCGACAGGCATAACAACTGGTAGGCTTTAACTCATTTACAAAAAAACGTCAGTTAAAAGACGACAAATTCTTGACATAACTGTTATAAGGCCGTGTTACACTAATAAACTTGTTCACGTTTGAAAAGGTAATCGAAACAATTACATAGTTCGCTTGTTAAAATATATTTCTGCCCGAATCTGCAATAAAGTAATCATTAAATCCATTAATAATTCAAAGTTTAATTTGGTGCATACATTTGTATATATACGTATACGTACACATACAGTACAGTCGTGTATAGTTTAACTTGTGAAATGTGAGATTGTTTGTCTACGTTTCAAAAATCTCCTTGCTCTGATAAACAAAATATTTATGTAATTTGTGATTTAAATACACTTGTTTAAATAATTTGTAATTTGGAAATTTTTCTTGGCTCCTCGGTCTTATGTATCGCGAACAATTTAAGAACGGGTCGTAGATTCGATCCCCACCGGGTCTTTTTTAAATTTATATATTTTTTTAAACAAGTTGCACTTCGACTGGAAATTTGGATATTAAGTAGGTGCTAGGAATCCGTCCACAAGTGAAAAAAAGCTCTACCGCGTTTCGTTTTCAGCCATGGATTCCCGAATATCCAAAAGCAAAATAGGTTAAAAGCAAATCTTGTTTTTAAGTCTCAATCAGCCATCAAGTGTACTCTGTGCTTTTCTGTCCTTCTTAGCATGAAAAAATAATAATAATCGTAAAGAAGGGAAAATATCAAGAGAAAAGACCGTTAAATTCTAAATTCCTAAGCAATAATTTGACACATGTGTGAGAAATAATATGCCAGCTTTAAAGATGCATTACGTGTATGTGAATATATGCTAATCATTTTACATCGGATCCAATCTTGCCTCATATAATATGCCACAAGTCGCAAGCAGAGAACAATTTGATCGGAATATAATTAAGAAATCCCACTTAACTATGAAGTAACCTTACTGCATGAACACTTGGAAAGTTATTCCAAGTATTACGTAAATATAGTTACTAAACTTTATACAAGTAAACATCTAACAGTAAGCGATGTCCAAACTAATTACGTACTACGTTCTGTATGGTTTTTTGATTTGAAGTGTCATAGGGCGGCAACATCACTGGAAATACTTTTGACAATCGTTGGTGCAATGTATGGATAATCTACATGTTTCTAATATTACTTTGTATTTTTTTTGTAACTTGTTAAAATGCGTCTGGAAAATCGCGATATAGATAGCTGCTATAGTAAGAATATCGAAATTTCGTTCAAAGACGAAGTACATTTTAATCGCGTTACGGTTCTAGTGTATCAAATTCTGAATGTATAAAGGATGATAGCAGCTTAGATGTCATATGGCTGTGATATTACACTTTTGGTCCATAGGTCAATTAAACTGCCAAAAATAAATAATTTCGGTCGATTAGAGCACAACTTGCCTTTGCTAGAAGAGACGATACCGCAAATTATGTTATTATTGACATAGGGTAACTAATGTATTTTTATATGTTGCCAATGCCTTTTATGCACAACAATTGACTTTATACGATTTACAAAATAAAGTACGTTACAATTCCTATGTATATAAAATATGTTCCAATAGTATATCAATAAATACCGTTCAAATATTGTATTGTTATATAATAAGACACTTTTTATTGTAATCTTTATTAACTAATTTTCTATGATTACGATGGGCGCGTGCGTATCTACTTTTTAATCTATGGTTTACGTAATAAAAATTAGAAGATTATCCAGCCTGATTGCATTGAGACGTCAAATAACGTAATATCGTAATCACTGACGCCATTACAGCTAGTAAAAGGAGATGTATCGGGTTTCTGTGTAAATGGGCAACGCTAACTTCGTAACGAGACGGAAATCTTTTTTATGATAGAGCAGGACAGACAAGCGTGCGGTTCACAGATCTAATCAAGATGCGCTATCGACCTATTTTGGCTTTGGATATTTGGAAATCCACAGACTGAAATCTAAACGCGATTATGCTTAACGGATTTTGACCTGTGGACCGCTGTTCCTGATCCGGTGGTAGGAATTTCGATATTTCTACCACCCATTTAACATCTACATTTCCAGGCTATGTCCAAAATGTTTCAGAAAAATAAAAAGTTGGACCTGGCGAGGAACAAACCTACGACCCGTTTAATATTATTAGGCATACATTTCGGCCTTATACCAGGGTTTGTTCTGGAACAAATTAAGACTAGTTTTTGGTCGTTCTAAAACCTTACGACTGCGTAAATGCGAATCATGATTTAATTAAAATAAGCTTCGAAATTGGAGAACGATTTCCATAAGGCTAAACCGTTTAAGATGAACGAGTTGACCCCTTTACAATGTGTAGCAGGCTTTTGACGATGGAAACACGTAACGATTGAAGACACAAAGCGAATAAAAAGACGTTTCAGCGAACGTAATGTGGGATTTGTTACATTTACGGATTTGCATATTGGGTAACGGATTACGCGAATCCGTTACGTAACGACACACTGTGCGTTATTGAGCTTTGATTGTTGCAATTTCGGGGATAACGGTAAAGTTATAGTGATGTAATAAAATGTAAGATATATCAACAACATTTAATGTAGAGGGAGATTATACCGTAGGTACAAGACGGATGTTTACAATTGTTTTTTTTTTACTTTCTAAATGGATTGATTTATCAAAAACTGCGTTTTCGATTGCATCGTTGTATCGTAACGGGTAAACAAATAGCTAAAAAATAAATTTCATTCAGCTTTATTTTTAAGTTAATGCTTTTCTACCATAATCAGAATCCTTCTATCTTTTTAAAGTGGATTAAGCGAGAAAGAGTGATAAAAATCATAGAGATTCCAAATGATTGATAAGGGTTAAATTATAGTCATAAGTGGTCCTTTTATTTAAAACAATTTCAAAATAAACGTTAACATGAGAAATAGTTTAAAAAAGCGGTTCACATGAATCGTCAGAGCAGCGATAGAGTCGGTTCCCACCATTACACTAAGTTAAGTCTTATCGCACCTTTCGTCACACCTAGGTACTGATTCCATACAATTAACTGCTGTCAGATATGGGTGAGCCGTTTTAACCTTACTTCACGTGGACGAAACTACTAAAATTGTGACTCGTGCTCACCCCTAATTATTCATTTCTAATTTATACTAATAATGTTGAGCTGAAGAGTTCATTTGTTTAAATTTGCTCCTCTCAAGAACTACTGGTTCGAATTTAAAAAATATTCTGTTGTGGATAGATACTTGTATGTGTCGAGGAAAGCTATATAACATCACGCTAAGACCACGGAAGAAAAAGTGGAAAATTTGAAAAAAAATACATTATAGAATGATTCCTCTATAAATTATCTGAGAGCAATCCCTCCGCGACAGTATATCTTTTAAGATTAACTTGCAACAACGACGGGACGCGGACGACGTCGTCGGTTATAGCTAGTAGATTGACGGTGCATCTAGCAAAATGGTAGTCTAACGTGGGTTAAGTTTGATGTCCTGAAAATAGGATTACATATCGTTTCTATAAGATATTGAGATAATTCACGCTTACTTATGTATTGTGTAATACCCGAGCCGTATACCATATCAGCAAGATGCGCTATTTTGACTTAGGACATCAATAGACTATATCCACAATAGACAGACACCACCATCTCGACTCTCTTTGGACGGTGGATAATAAATCGGACGAAATTTCGCATTTACTTAAACCCTTTTAATATCCAGATTTTACAGATGAAGTTGACTTTACTGAGAAGCGATTGACCTGTTGCCGGAAAACTATATCTGGCCACATAACATTGTACCAACGCGTGTGTGACTATATATATATATTATAATTATGCACTTAAACTGTAAGTACATATTGCACAAATAGCGTCCAAAGGCAGCCGATAGTGAAATTATCTATAAGTCAAACCGGCACTCGGTCAAAGAAAACGAATCTCAACAAGGTCGACACTGAACGCTAATACCTCTACTTAATTACGGCGACTCCCGCACCTGAGACCGTCGTAACAGCCGATGGCATACACGCGATTCTATCACTTAACGTAAAAAGATACGGTTTGTTATTACGCGATTCTGAAATGGTATTACGTCAGTGGTAATGCACGCGTGGAAGCCTTGTATGTGCGTGTAAAATCGATATATGCGTTGGCGGATGTAGTGTTCAAGGGCAGTGTTTGGACTCTTGATTAGATTTGCATAGACTGGACCACTTCAGTCCACCGGCTTAAAAAAAGATTAAAACAATTCACGCTTATTTTTATCTAAAAAGTTACCTTTAATTTTGGCCATAACTTAACATCGGCGCATACTCATGATATTTTAGCACATTAATTGATTTTACTTACATTATATGCATGTTTGATTCGAAACTGAATTAATTGATAATTACAAAGCAATTCATGTTACGGTTACTTCGCAAATATTTAATATATCTTAAATAAAATAATTTTAACGGTTTAAAACGTGAAATATAGTTGTGTAATTATGTGTCCGAAAATAATTTATATATTTTGCGTTTTATCCTTACAAAATATTATTAACAAAGATGTCTCATAATATTTTTACATCATATATTAAAAATTTTTAGCTCGATGTCCAGAGAAATCCTGAGATATCTGAAAATGTCATTATTTTCGCTTGTTTTTGCGCATGATCCGCATTCATAGCATCCCTTGCTGTAAC